TCCTGTCCCTGAGTGGCCTTGAGCGAGTGACTGCATACAGGTTCCCACGTACTGCTAACCAATGGGCTGTGGCGACTTACTTTCCCAAGAAGGTCATGAGTTTCTCAGGAGCAGGGGCCATGTCATAAATGTATTTCAGGACCCCTCTGACCCCTCTGTCACTCCGACCTTCATATAGAACACTACTGGAAGACCACCCAGGAAACTGATGGCAGTGGGTGTCTTAGGGAAGACTGGAGCCAGGAGATGAGGGGGACTTCACTGCACACTCTTAAATATTTCACCAGGAACATAATATAATTAGTTTTTAAACTGTTTAATAAAGAAATAAGAAAGCTTACATCACCATTTTTATTTCATTTTATGGTGGTACAACAATGTATTTATTCTGCCCCCTATTTGGGGGCATTCTGCTTTCTCCTTCTTGTTAAGGTATGTTGCCTCACCTCTCTTCAGACTCAGAAGGCTTCCCAGAGGGGATGATTGCTGATGGATGAGTAGGAGTTAGTCAGGGGAGGGAAAGGTGTTCCAAGCAGAGGGAATATCATGAAGGTGTGAGAGCATTTCTCATGAGGAAATGCAATGAAGGTGGAGGTGGATTGACGGAGATCGGCCTAAAGGGGTGAGATAGGTCATTTGGGGCTCTGGTAGCAGGCTAGAAGGTTGAATCTTGGACTTGGATTTTAGGTTGGTGGGTGATACTGATCAACTGTACAAATCAATAACTCCTAGACAATGAGCAGCTTCCCATGGCTTGTTGGTAAGACAGCCAGATTCTCATCTTCAAGGCTCTCCCCCACCTTGCCTAATGGTATGATCATGGGACCCCTACCAGACCATCAGGTTATACTACTTTTTGTGGGAGAGTCAGTGTCTCTGCTAATTAGGGGAAGAGGTATTAGAAAGATCAGTGCCACTGCTGGAAGGATTTCATGAAATCAGATTTTCAGTGTTGGGGAAAATTTAGAAATCCAGTTCAGTGACAAATCCGAGTATTTTTGAGGAGAACTTGTGCTTCTGCACACATGTTTAATATAAGAAAACCTTTTTCTGATCCTAAATGCCTTGAAATAAATTGAAGATGCATATATAATCTTAGCAGCAAATTGAAGACACATATATAATCTTAGCAGCTCAGCATCCCTAAGAAATCATTCAAGGAATTCAGTTCATTCTATAAGGTTCTCTTAGCATTGAGTCTGCAGCAGCTTGAAACCTGACAAGCAAAGGTCCTAACTACCCTTGAGGAGGTCACAAACTAGTGCAAAGGATATAAAATAAATGTGATCATGTAAAACAGGAAGTTTTACCATTGAACTCTGATATTGAAGTGAGAGCAGAGAAGAAAACATTTGCATATTTTCAGGTTCAAACTTAGATTTTTTTTCTATTAGAGATTTTACCTCCTTTCTCTGGAACTTAAACATTGGTCTTATGAGAGGTGGCCAACATTTTGCGAACCACACATTGAATGTCATTTTCCCAAGCTTTAGCTGCAATACTTAGAGACTATGATGTTTAGTCACTTTAGTGGCTACGGTCTTTATTTTCATGTGAGGGATGTAGTGTAGATTAATTAACACTTACAAAGCTTCACATTAAGTTTAATAAAAGCTTGAATAAAATATATATAATGCTAAATTAAAGTACAAAGGGATAATTTACTATGCAAACTAGAACACTTTTGTTTTCTGTGTTTTTATTTTATTTATTTTATTTTATTTAGGTATCATTAATATACAATTACATAAACATTGTGGTTAATAAATTCCCCCCATTATCAAGTCCCCACCACATACTCCATTACAGTCACTGTCCATTAGCATAGTAAGATGCTATAGAGTCACTACTTGTCTTCTCTGTGCTATACTGTCTTCCCCATGTCCCCACTACATTATGTGTCCTAATCGTAATGCCCCTTATTCCCCTTTTCCCTCCCTTCCCCCCCCACTTCCCCAAGTACCTTTCCCTTTGGCAACTGTTAGTCCATTCTTGGGTTCTGTGAATCTGCTGCTGTTTTGTTCCTTCAGTTTTTGCTTTGTTCTTATGCTCCACAGATGAGTGAAATCACCTGGTACTTGTCTTCTCTGCCTGGCTTATTTCACTGAGCATAATACCCTCCAGCTCCATCCATGTTGTTACAAATGGTAGGATTTGTTTTCTTCTTATGGCTGAATAATATTCCATTGCGTGTATGTACCACATCTTCTTTATCCATTCATTTACTGATGGACACTTGGGTTGCTTCCATTTCTTGGCTATTGTAAATAGTGCTGCAATAACGTCTGGGCCACAATTAATCTGAATGTAAGCTGTGCAATTAGAAGGCTATCTGCAGTATTATATGAGCATGGTTACAAGCATTCTGGGGGTTTTCCTTAACCAAATTTTAATTACTGATTCATGTGGCATCAGTAATAACTAAATTTCTGCCCCTGTAAAAAATGACACTTAGAATGTGGCTACATATGTTATTTCCAATGAATTCAGCATTTGCTTTACTTTTCAAAGCAATAAACTAATTGTGTAATTTATTTTCAAGTATAATAAAGGGGACTTTGCTTTTCCTTTTTTGGTTAAAAAAATAGTGCTGCAATAAACATAGGGGTGCATATGTCTTTTTGAAACTGCTTCTGCATTCTTAGGGTAAATTCCTAGGAGTGGAATTCCTGGGTCAAATGGTATTTCTATTTTTAGTTTTTTGAGGAACCTCCATACTGCTTTCCACAATGGTTGAACTAGTTTACATTCTCACCAGCAGTGTAGGAGGGTTCCCCTTTCTCTGCATCCTNTTTAAGTTCTTTATATATTTTGGATGTTAACCCTTATTGGATATGCCATTTACAAATATATTCTCCCATACTGTAGGATGTCTTTTTGTTCTGCTGATGTTGTCCTTTGCTGTACAGAAGCTTTTTAGCATGATGTAGTCCCATTTGTTCATTTATGATTTTGTTTCCCTTGCCCAAGGAGATGCGTTCAGGAAAAAGTTGCTCATGTTTATGTCCAAGAGATTTTTGCCTATGTTTTCTTCTAAGAGTTATATGGTTTCATGACTTACATTCAGGTCTTTGATCCATTTGGAGTTTACTTTTGTGTATGGGGTTAGACAACAATCCAGTTTCATTCTCTTGCATGTAGCTGTCCAGTTTTGCTAACACCAGCTGTTGAAGAGGCTGTCGTTTCTTCATTGTATATCCATGGCTCCTTTATCATATATTCATTGACCATATATGCTTGGGTTTATATCTGGACTCTCTATTCTGTTCCACTGGTCTATGGGTCTGTTTTTGTGCCAGTATCAAATTGTCTTGATTACTGTGGCTTTGTAGTAGAGCTTGAAGTCAGGGAGCGTAATCCCCCCTGTTTTATTCTTCCTTCTCAGGATTGCTTTGACTATTCAGGTCTTTCATGGTTCCGTAGAATTTTAGAACAATTTGCTCTAGTTCATTGAAGAATGCTGTCAGTATTTTGATAGGGATTGCATTGAATCTGTAGATTGCTTTAGGCAGAATGGCCATTTTGACAATATTAATTCTTCCTATCCATGAGCACAGGTAGAACAGTTTTGAGAGTGGAACAGACACAATTAGTAATTTCATCCTGAAAACAGGTATGAATGGGGGTTGTCCCAGAGGAAGCAGGACTTCACCACCACCTTAGCTGTGTATCACTTAGGGACCTCATTCCACTTTGAATAAAAGAAAAACCAACTATTAGTTTATTCATCAAAAAAGGGTTGGTTACCATCACCCGCTACCCCTGTAGGTAGTGTGGAAAATGGGTTCTTTCTGGTGGCCCTGCTGCTGCAGTGTGCACAGTTAGGGGTTCTGATTCCCTAGCCTTCCCCTCTGAGTGCAAAGATTGCAGTTCCCATCACAGCAGCCATGCAGGAAGAAGAAAAGGGGCAGCTGCAGGATTGGGAAACTGAAGGCTTTCCAGGAATCCTCAGTGGGCTTGTGCTTATTCACCACTGGCCAGAACGTTGCCCTGTAGCCCTCAGCTACAGAGAAAGGGAGAAGCCATGTTCTCAACAGAGGAGGAAAACAAGGAAAGAGAAGTTGGAAGGGCTTTGGGTCCAACCAGCAGTGCACAGGCTCCAAGTGGGAAACACTTAGAACTATGGGGGCAGGACACCTAACTCCTTCAGGAGTGGTGGGGGTGATGGAAAATAAGCTGGCTTCCCAGGCCAAAAAGCCAGGCTCAGCTGATTTGACAAACAGAGAGGGCAAAGGTGTACTAGGCAGAGCTGACCACAGGAAGCATAGGGCACACTCAGGCAATCACTCAATAAGTGGGAAGTGGCCAGATGCACATGAGTCTGATTTTCATTAGCTACTTGATGAATCATCCAGTGCACTTCTGAAATAGATTTCAGGGTGTCCCCAGATCCAACCTAATCAGAACCTCCAAGTGACATCTGGCAAGTTTGGGGAAGTTGGCTCCAGTCTCGATTAGGGGTTCTCAGAGTGTACATGCTGGCCAAAGATGCCCATAAGGGGCCCACCCCAGCCACGGACTCAGAATGAAAGTCCAGCAAGTGAGGGAGCTGTGTGATGAGAGGATGTCACTGGGTCACTGCTAACCTGTCAGATTGGTGGGGCTAGGAATGAAGGTGGACCATTTCAGCAAGCAAAGTGAAAGCAAAACCTTCAAAAACAGCAACAGATACTCAAGTTCTTCCTGAATGTAACTGAGGCTGCACCTTCTCAGACTTGGGCCATTTCCAAAGCAATCCAGCAAGGGCCTTGTCCTTACCAGGGAGCCAGGGAGAACTAGAAGAAAGATGAGCCATCAGAACTGAAGATCACACTAGGGCTTCCCCTACTGCCCAGCCCCACCTCCACCCCTCCCTTCATAAACTCTAACTCCCACTCCCCCCACTGTGTAGAAAAAGGTGCACCAAGAAACTGCTGAGCTTGAAGGAGGGGAGGGGACTGAAGGAGAGGACGTAGTGGGGCTGGTATCTACTCTCTGGGCTGGTCCGGGCAGGAAGCGCAGCCTGCTACAGCAGCACTGGTTTTGCTGGAAAAATCATCATTTAGCTAGAGTCAGACATGTATCCTAAATATAACTCAGGGACCTCTGGGACTCTGGGCTTTGGCACTGTTGTTTGTAGCTACCAAAGGCAGAAAAAAATAGAACCAACTTACAATATGTAGTTCTGGCCCTCAAAATGTGAAGTCAGTTACATTTGTCTTTGGTTACCCTCCCATCTCCCCTTTCATTTCTTCAACAAACATTTCTTTGAGGACCCACCATCTTCCAGAAGCTGTGCTAACCCTGGGACCTCCAAGGAAGAGAGGCAAGACTTTCGATCTGGAGTAGAGACAATGAAGGTATGATATGTGCAGGGGGCTGTGACTAACCTGGGGCCATGAGGAGGGGGTACTAACCCTGGAATAGGATGGGACAGAGAACAAGGGTATAGGTGGGAGGTCTGAGCTGAATCTTAAAAAGCCAGCTCAGTTGATCAGCCAAAAGGAAGTTTATTCCTGCTAGAACAAACTAGCCAAAGGGAAGAGGTTACTGTGGGATTTCAGGGATAAAACAGGGAGTGTTTGCAGACTTCTGCCCCCAACACAGAGACTCTTAACGCTTGATATCTCCATTCTCCTAACCTCTCACCCACCTCAGTTAAATTAACCTTTAGTACCTGTGATCCAGGGAAGGAGCAGAAAAGGCCCAACAGGGAGGTATTTGCTTGGGGGTGAGGTGGGGAGAGAGCTAAATCAATCTGATAAAGAATGGAATGGGGTGGTGTCATTCCTGGCTTTTGCACTGTGCTTCTAGAACTGGGCCCTGCTGAAAGGTCAGTCAGCAGTAAAAAGAAAGGGGACTAGGAGGCAGCTTTCCCTGACATTTTGGCACTTAGACCACTGCTGCCCTGCCCACCGGTCACACTAGTCCCAGCAGCCACACATTCATTCTCTCATTCATTGATGCAGAGATACAGCAGTACGCAAAACAAAAACCTCTGACCCCACAGGACCTCTGTTCTGGCATGGAAGACAGACAAAGAACAATCATGCCAGTAAGGGATAAAAAGGAACAAGAAAAATGGTAGGGGGAAGAAGAGGTGTACTCGTCCATGTCTGGGGAAGCCCTCAGTAATAAGGAGAGAAATGGGTAGAGACCTGAAGGAAGTGATGGAGAGGGAGACATTTAGATATCTGAGGGAATTGCTTTCAGATAGCAAGAGCAGCCTGTGCAAAGGTCCTGAGGTAGGACTGCTGGAGAAATGTGGATGTTGCCAGTGCCACTGGAGTAGGGGGAGCAAACCAGGGAATTCACTGTAAGAGGAGAGACACAGAAGGAATTTAAGAGAACTGGCTTTGCAGCCATGCATACCTGGGACCTGCTGTTTACCAGCTGTCTACATTTAGGCAGATTGCTTAATCTCCCTATAGCTCATTCTCTTTGTCTGTAGAATGGGAAGAACAGTGTTATTACACTTAGCATCCTCTACAGACTTTCTCTAAGTAAGTAGCAGCTATTTTAGGGTTATTAAGAAATGCAATGTGTACATGTTCCATATTTAGTAATAACACTATCCCAAAGAGATTTTTCAACAACCTATGCTAGATTTTTTTTTGTTATTTTTTCCAATTTTTTATTGTCAAAAAATATACATAACAAACAAAATGTGCAATCTTAATCATTTTTAAGTGTGCAGTTCAGTAGTGTTAAGAACTTTCACATTTTGTTGTGCAACCATCAACACCAGCCATCCCCACAATTCCTCTTATCTTATAAAACTGAAACTGTATCCATTAAACAATAACTCATAGCCCCCAACCCCAACCTCCACCCCTGTCCAGCCCCTGGCCACCACCATTCCACTTTCTGTCTCCATGAATTTTCCTGCTATAAGTAGCTTACATAGTGGAATCGTAAAGTATTTGTCCTTTTGTGACTTACTTCACTTAGCATGATGTCCTCAAGGTTCAGCCATGCTGTAACATGTGTCAGAATATTATTCCACTGTATGTATCTACCACATTTTGTTTATCCATTTACCCATAGATGGACACTTGGGTGGCTTCCACCTTTTGGCTGTTGTGAGTAATGCTGCTATAAACAGAGATGTACAAACACATCTTCAAGACCCTGCTTTCAGTTCTTTCAGTTATGTACCCACAAGCGGGACTGCTGGATCACACAGTAATTCCATTTTTAATTTTTTGCATAATTGCCATACTGTTTTCCACAACGGCTACCCTGTTTTACATTCCTGCCACAATGCACAGGGGATCCAATTTCTGCACATCCTCATCAACATTAGCGATCCTATTGGATGTGAGGTATCATTTTTTTGTTTTATAAAAACATCTTAAATTACATGGATAGCAACATTATCTCCTGTGTTGGAGTATGTGGGCATCATACTGGCAGTGACAAATTACACTGCTGCCCCTGTTCATCAACATGGGGGCTTGCCATCGTCACCCTAGAGCTCCATTACAGGCACCAAAAGCAAGGCGCCAGAGGAGTCAAGAGCTTGACTGAGTCTAGGCAAGACAGCTGTCAGTGTCAGAATTAGGATCCAAAATTGCAGAAACTTTGAAAGCAGAAAGTTTCTCTTTGAATCAATACTTCCTTCCACTTTCTTTGAATTTGAGCAAACAGAAAACCTAAGAGTTTAACCCTTTTGAGGAAGTTGTAAGCAATGGTCAGCATAAGGAAACAGCTATCTTGCTTTTAATCTTGGGTTTTGAACATGAGTCATTTGGAGGTCCCTCAGCAACTGCCTAGGTCCTCGGACTGGTCTCTGGAATGTGGGCAGATTGTAGCAGATCCTGCTTCTTCTGTTCCTGCTAGACCCCCATCCCTGCCAGGCAACACACACCGTATCTGATCTGGAGTGTTCTGTCCAATCATGGCCTCTGTTAGTCCCCTTCTGATCTCCCCAGAAGCCCACCCCACGGGCCTCCCCCTGCTTGCCACGCTGCTCATACGACCTAACCGTAGAAGCACAGCATGACACAGCTTCTCTCTCCTGCAGTACATGCATGGGTGTCCCTGCTTGTCTTAGTCCCTGTGCTCTTGGCTCTTGAAATGCAGTCCATCCTCCCTGGCTGGGCCACAGGTCTGTGATGGCGGCAGAGATGGATACAGGCCTTGTCTTGTCATAGCAGGGAAAAAAACTGTAATGACAATCATTGAATTGAGTGCTATATTAAAGAAAAATAAAGAGGTTTATCAGATTAAAAAAAAAAGGACCAGAGACCAAACTGGGAGCAACAGTTTGCCACTGAATCGGGAGCTGGAGACCCAGCACAAGCCTTGGCTGTGCAGGTGAGGCTTGGGAGGGGAAAAAGTTCACAGACAGTCTCTACGCCATAAAAAGGCAAGTTCTCCAACTGTTGTTGATGGATTGGTTCGCAGGATGTTTCATGGGGAGGTGGCATTCGGCTGCCTCTGCTGCACCTGTGAGGTGCCCAAGGTAGGGATGCTGATGCCAGTCAGCCGGCCAGGTGGCCAGGTTGGGGTCTGTCAGCTGCAATGGCTGAAGTGTCTAGCAGAGACATCGAATCTAGTCTGGGATAATTTTTAAAAAGGTTTGGAAAACAGCGTGGTGATTTTCTTCCCTATTTGTTTTCTTTTAAAGATACTAACTCACTCCTCACAAATGACGTGACAACAGTAGCTCTCACCTATTCAGCATTTGGTATGTGGCCGGTGCTTTGCTGTACTCTTGACATATATTATCTCACGTAATCCTCACAAAAATCTCTATCACTAATTCATTTTATAGAGAAGGAAATTGAGTTCATTTCTAGGGCGGTTAAGTAATTTTACCAGGGTTGAAAAGTAGGCCTATCGTATCCAGCGCTCAGCCTTTACCCACCAGACTCTGTCTATACTACATTTTTTCTTTAAACAGCTGGGATGGGTTTGACCTGGCTCTAGGGCTTTCTTAAGTTTCTAGTTCCTTCAACTCAATCCACATTTAAACCAGTCCTCTGGTTTCTGCCTTAAAAAAATGCTTATCATATTTAAATATTTATGAGAAGTCTCTATCACTGTAATAGTGTATTTCCAAAATAATTTTTTCTGATGAAAGCAGGAGAGAGAAATATTGTTCAAACCCCATTGTGACAAGAAGTTTTCAAATTTTAACCATGTAAGGTGATGGATGTGTTCACTAGCCTTATTGCTTATTGTTGTAATAATTTCATGATACACAGATCTTCCTCCACTTACGATGGGGGTCACATCTGATAAACCCATGGGAAGCTGAAAATACTGTAAGTCAAAAATGCATTGCATACTTCTACGCTATCGAACATCATAGCTTAGCCTAACCTACTGTAAACATGCTCAGAGCACTTAATTAGCCTGCAGTTGGGCAAAATCATCTGACTCAAAGCCTATTTGATAATAATGTGTTGAATATCTCATGTGATTTATTGAATCCTGTACTGTAAGTGAAAAACACAGTGGTTGTTTGGGTACAGAATGGTCACCACAAGTGCTGGGCATAGAAGCCACAGGGCATAAATCTGCAAAGAAGTAAAAAGCTAACCTTTGCAAACAATATGGCTTCTCTCTCACTTACCAACTTTACATTTCCCTGTATGGCCCCGGAAGATGACTGGTTAGCCAGAGACGGGTAAGATTCCTCAAGGGAGGAACAACCTAAGACAGGCACAGTCGCAGGGGGGCCATCAGGTGAGAAATTGGGGATCAACAGAGGTGAGGCTCAGAACCTCACCCCCCCTGCTTTGAGAGAAATCTTCTGCATCCGTGGATGTCTTGCTGCCCTTGTCTAGCCTGGATTAATACTTAGTCCATAGGCACACACCTGATCATCTGATCATCTACATTTGCCTTCTTACAGCACTAAACTATGTTTTCTACCTTTATCTTGCATCTACCTACCACTTCAGCATTTTATTAAAAATAAAAATAATAATAATAATAGGAGAAATGTGGGATCAACATATAAATCAAGTACAAAAATCAAATGAATATTCATATTTGACCTGATGGTTTATAGGTCATATTGCATGATCAAAACCGAAAGTTTCTGTGATGAATGCCCTTGTACTGTTCACCATGTAAGAATTTATTCACT